CTTATTCAATTTCTCGAGGAGTAAAATGAGTCGCCAAATATACTTTAGCAATGTCTGAAACGTGGACTTATATATTCCCTGTCTGAGTGGAGCGACCGGCGATCTGTTCTCCTGTGACCGAGATAAGTCGTGTAACTGTACTGTCCTACAGTGAACTCAGCTCTTTCCTTACATCCTAACCAGCTTTAGCAGCGTTAAATCACGTCTGCTCCTCACAGCTAAAGCACTGTCACTGCGCTCAGTCATATTTAAGTATTAGTGCATTCACAAGAAAGAAAAGTGAAAGAAAGAAGTGGGTTCATGTTAATCACAGCCTTGATTTAAACAAAAGTAAACTGAGGATGCTGTATGTGCGGAAATGGAGAGCGGGAGAACGCTAGCTTCCCAGGCTAGCTGTTTTTAGCAGCTGGCTAACTTGAAGCAGCGCTCCGTCACTCACATAGCACAGAGAATTGATGATACTGTAGATCAAACATGACAAAAGCACCACTTTCAGTTTAAACGTATCTAAAAGGAGAATCGGACTGCAGTTAATGCTTTTACACAGCGAGCATCAGATACATCGCGGTTCACCCCTCAAAGTACTATGATAGAATAGAGAAATCCAGTCGTCGGCTAGCTGGTGTCTGAATACCGTGATATACTCTGACATGGATGTGGTAGGAGTGATGGCATTAAGGCGGTGTGATCCATCACTGACCTACCGATCCAGCTAATGTTTGCTGTTCATATTAAGTTGACATTGTTGAGAAACTAAACAGTTTAGCACTGTTGTTGGCCACTTGTTTAGCATTTGTAACAGGATAGCCTATGACTCATCACCAGACAGCTAAAAATAATCTGTTTTCTTTCTTAAATTATGACTATTACAAATATTGCAGCACTGTCCCATGACAGATTGGTGAAATGTTCCACTGTTTGGTGAGTGTTTCTGTCTCATGTTCCGACCATAAAGGACAGTTTTAAACAGCAATTAACCACACAGGAGCAAAAATCTGCCTTCAGACTTGAAAGAAATAATGATTTGACATTTATCGTTATATGTATCGATATCGACTGATAAATTTTTTTATAATGATAACATTTTTGGCCATATCACCCTGCTCTACTATCACAACTTAAAAACTACCAGCATCTTGTAGCTGCTCTGATACTAAAATGCATGCGTTTGCCCAGTTAACCAACCAGAAGCTCACTTACAGCCTGATGAAACACCAAGATAAAAAAACTGCAGCTCTCCAAAGATGCAGCACGTTCGTAACACACACACTGAGACTGCCTGTGTGTTCAAAGCCAGTAAAAGTAAATCTGATGTTCATTTTTATGAGCTGTTTTGATTAAATGTATTTAGACATAAGATGTAGACCCATTAGACATTGCACATAATCAATGTGCCCAAACAATAATGTGCTGCGTCTGTAAATCCAACACCCCACCTGGATTCCCCCAAAGCAATCTTACAAGAGATCTTTCATTCTGTATAATTCATGTGACAATAAAAAATCTTCACATTAAGACCAGTGCAGTCACGTCAGGTATTGCAGTTGGCAGACTCCCCCAAAAATGAATTTGATGCTGTTAGCTCAACCAAACAGGCTCTGGATCTTGTGTGGGAGGGTGCAGAGTAGTGGTTCTGTAATTAACGGTGGACATTTGTGAATCTGTGACAATTTAATTGGTTAAAAAGGACGAAAAAAATGTCCAGACTGTCCATTGTTGCCAAGGACACCAGGCAATGTCGACAAGTAATGCTATATAATACAATCTAGCACAGTGTAGAATTTAAAGGTGTTTCATGGTGTGGCACCCAAACAACTTTCAAATATTGCGCAACACCTAGGCAGCCTAATAACATACCCAAAACAGACACCCTCCCCACCCATCCAGACTGTGCCAAAGCTAAATGTTGCCCGGTGTTGCCCATCAAGTCTGTATGCACAGTTAAGAGTCCCTTGATAACTGCAGTCCTACAAAACAACGCATTCGTGTGGCTTTAAATGCTGTATGACTCACTATATGGTGCAGCCACAGCCAGAGGCGCTACAGTCCAGCACCCCCCCCCCACCCAGAGAGAGTGAGTGAGCGAGGGAGAGAAAAAGAGAGTGGAAAAAACACGTCCAAGCAACACTTCCAACGTCCAACGTGTCTGAAAGCGTTTCAGTCGCCGTTGCTTGAACGAACACGTCTTCTGAAAACGTGGAAACGCTGTAAGCTGCTTTATTTGCTTCTTTTTGCGTGCTTTTTCGCGCACGCGCGTCCGACACACCTCTGTCTGACATTGACACGCGGTTGTCCTCGCGGGAGCGCGCACGCCGAGCCGCACGCGAGCGAGCGAGCAAAAAAACATACGCGCGCGAGAGAGACCGGCTGACTCGTTCCGACACCAGTGGGGAGTTTCATTGACTTGACCGAACCGATTCTTTCGAACTGGACGATTCAAATGATTCACTGATTCACAAGTCAAGCGCAACTTCATCATCTTCTCCTGCACGAAGCTACGGACGTAGCCAAACACACACAGCACGTACAAGAAAATATAGCCTTCCCTTGTTTTCGAGTGTCACCTTGCCCCTTGGAACTGAGTTACAGGGGGTTGTGGTTGAAATGTTCTCTGAAATGGGATCCTCAAGTAAAAAGAACATTACTTCATTAAGAGGCTTCTAGCGCTCTTAGCCCCAAGGAGGGTAAAGTTCAGCAACCTCGCTGCGTGGGGGGGGGGTGCAATTATTTATTATCACCCACCCGTAATTCTTCAGTGATATGAATCTGGTCAGATGTTCACCAGCTTCTTGTTCGAATGTTCCCGTTCCACCTTAAATGGAGCAGCAGTTACTAAGACAATACTGTGATTATCGTAATTTTTCAACAGAGAAAATTCTCTCATTTGTGGGTTTCTTTGGTCGATCACGCAGCCGTCTTGCTGGTTTTCCTTTTTTCCTCATAACCCTCTGTTTGGAGTCTCTGAAAAACCTCAGTTTGGAGGGCCATGCAGCCCTAACACTTCCTCCTACCCCTCTATCTCAACAAGAATCAGGACACCCTATCCCTAGACGTGAATGCAGAAAACAGAGGGGAAGGGCTGAGTGGTGGGGGCGAGGGGTGAAATGGGATTCGACCAGTACGGATACTGTTACATTAACATTTATGAAATGCAGAAGGTGGAATTAGATCCACACTAGAATAGCATTACATTGAAATATAATATTTATTTCACTAAATCTTCCCACTTCTTACAACATACTATAGATCTGTTTTGTAAAGGTTAAGCAATTTCAACTCACCGACACTCAACGGTTCTTTAGTAATGAAAACGCTTTTATATAGAACCATGAACACTCAAAGAACCCTTTTGCATGATTAAGGGTGCTATATAGAACCCTTTTGGAAAAGAGTTCTATATAGCACCAACAAAAGGTTCTCCTACTGTTACCACGTCAAGCTTGTTGCAACAGAAGAAACTTTCACAATGCAAAGAACCCCTTTGTAGGTCCTTTGAGGGGTCATGATGCTATATGAATCAATTTTCTTCACTGAAGAACACTTAGAGAACCCTTAAATAACCAAACTAAAGCTTTTTCATTATGGAACCAGCCAATCAGAAGCATAAAGGCCCAAACAGAAGATATTCAGGAGAAACACTATCCACTAGTGACCAGGAGTCAGAATAAACTGCATTTTGTGATAATAATAATAATAATAATAATAATAATAATGCATTTCATGCTTAAATGGTTCTCTGCACTGTCTTGTTTCATGCTTAAATTGTTCTTCAGATTGTTGGAGAATGTGTTCTATGTGGCTCTAAATAAAATCTTTTTGCAAAGGGTTCCATATAGCATCAAAAAATGGCCCGGCTGTTATGATGTCAAGCTTTCTGGTGCTATATAGAACCATATAAAACACGTTCTCCATCAATCTGAAGAACCATTTCACCATGCAAAGAACCCCTTAAGCACGCAAATGGCTCTACACAGATCTCGTGGTTCCAAACAGAACCATTACCTATATTAAATAACCATCTCTCAGTGTGTACAAAAAGTTCGATTCAGATTTGGGAGTCGGTTCGAATGAACGATTCACTCACGAGTCGAACGCCGCTGTCAGACAGACAACAAAGAGAAAAACCCAGAAAACAAAGAGAGGAAGAAAGGAATCACCAATTCCCTCCACTCGACTGCTATCACGACTCGTCGCTGGTCCACACAAGTTGTGTGTGTCTGTATGCATGCGTGTGTGTCCGTGTGTGAAACGGCCAGGCTTCAGTCGACTGAGCTGTCAAAGGAGCCGTCAAGTCAGAGGGGGCTTACTGCGACCCCTCGGTGGGCTTCAAGGTCTCCCTCCTTCAGGTTTTACGTGCAGACACACGCATACACTCTCCGCACCCCCTTAGCTAACGTTAAGAGTCAGAAGGCGCAGTTCATCTCAGAATTTCACTGACTCAGGCAAAAAAACAGCCGTGTGTGAATGCAGCATATGCGCTGCTATTTCAGCCACAGATGACCACACGAGTCTGCATGTGGAGATATGCAGCCCACACCAACACAAACAGCACATGTATAAGACTTACTCACCTCAAACACATTTTCTCCCATTAAAATGTCATTTTTAATTTTTTTTCTGTTATCTCGGCGACCGCTAAAGTGTCAGAAAGCCCATGTGAGCTCATGTTTACAAATTACGAGTCTGAAGTCAGCTTCTTACTCGAAATTTCCCCGTTCCACCTTAAATGTGCAGTTAGTTGCTGCACCATTTAAGGTGGAACGGGAAAATTCGAATAAGCAGCTCACTTCAGCTTCGTGACTCAACGTAGCCTTCTGAAGCCCAAACATGCGAGCAAATGAGTTTTATTCAAATGTGACTAATTTATATTACTCTAGAAGTAACTGTTTACCTTTTTTGCTAAAAAAGACACTTAGTTTATCTTCTAAGGTGGAAAAAATCAAGTTTTATCGTTAACATGATGCAGCGAATTCAGATGAACAACACAACACTGAACTTACCCTGCAGTCAAACGAAAACGACGGTTGAGAATTCAAACTGTCTCAATATGTAACGTTTAAATTACACAACTCGGGACCCTCTTCGCCTTGCTGAGGTTTATTTTCCAGTCTCGTCCTATTTTCCCCTCAGGTTTTTCTCTTTCTCGCCTTCTTTTTCGTTATTTTCGCCTCCCGTTTCTCCTCACGGAATTGTCCCGTTGTTTCGTCCTTTCTCGAGCCAACAGTCAGAAAAATCCTACAGAAAATATGGAGCCGTCAATCAAATACGGCGGGCGAGCTTACCTCCAGCAAGAGCGGGGAGCTACAAGGCCACACGAACACTGATTTACAATTTCTAAGACACATTTGTCGGAGGATTTTGTGTTTGTCCAACGTTCAGAAGTAAAGATAGATGGTTATGGATAAATTTGTAAAAACAGCCATCGCTTAATGAGAAAAAAAACACGCCACTCTCAGCGCTACTCACCCTTTTTCCAATAATGGTATGCGCCAGTTGTTGAAGTAGCTTGTGGAACAAAACGCGCTCGCATTCCAAGGTTCTGGTTACAGCTGGGAGGCAGAGACGGTGAGGCAGGAGACATTCCTGTCAGGACGACCAGGTTACACCCTCCAAACCTCCCAGGATCCAGGATGAACTAACGAGGCTTCGTTTTCGATGAGGAGGTTTAGGCGTAGTGTGTGTGTCTAACCGTTTTTACTGTCTGTAAGGTCGTAAAGGGGAACGCCACCGATTTTTCTAAAATTCTGCCCAAGTCAACGGTTAAGATGTAAACAAAGTCATTCAGACTGGTTTGCTTCGTTCTAGAGAAACTTACCGAGTCAGATAAAAACTATTTAAAAAAGTTATTACATGACATGGTAAGATATATGCTGCCTGGCATGTCTGACACATTGTTTTATGGTAAGATTTTGGCCCAAAATGTATTTCATCCATTCATGGCGGAGGGGTACGTGTAGGGCGTGGTGAGGCAAAATAGTCCCCCCAAAAATGTATTTTTTCACATTTATGACTTTTTTTAGATAGATAGATAAATAAATAATCAACTTTTTTCAAGCACATCCATTCATGGTGCAGATGTACACAAAAGGTGTTGTAAAGCAAAATAGCACCCAAAATTTTTTTTGAGATTTAATACTATTTTACCATAATCAACATTTCATATAAACACTCAGAAGACGCTTGTAGGTTCACTGGTGGTTCTGGATAGTAAATAAAATGGCTATATTTGTGTTGTAGACATGCCGACCTCTGGTTCCTATCACCACCACTGTAAAGAAACCTGAGTCACTGCATTTCTCTACAATGCACATTTCACATCACCACTCTGAATGATTCCGTTTACATCTCAGTGAGTGAATTATGCAGAAAATACTGAAACAAATCGGTGAAAATTTCCTTTAACCGATTATTTAACTTTTCCCAGTAGTAACTCAGCTACATAATGCTTATATAGCATTTGCAGCTATTAGCCATTGCAGTTCTCCAGGCTCTTTCTAACCAGGCTTTCCTGTAAGCTTATCTGGCCTTGTTCTCATGCCACGTTCATCGATATGTAACAAGTGTGGCTGAACATTTGTTAGAAATGCCACAGATGCAGAGACCACACTGTAAAATGGTGATCATCCAGCCTTGAGCGTTCACATACAAGACGTTTAGCATAGCATTGCTGACAACAGTGGTAGGGCTCTGAGAGCAACTGGCACGTTTAATTAACCATTAGACCAGACAAAGAGCTGCTGACCTCGGTCCAGCTAACAAGCAGCCTCTACCAAGCCCTCCACCCTCCACGCACAAATGTTCCCTCTCCTTATCTATCTCTGCCAGGACTGATAAAGGAGAGAGGACCCTGCACAAAAAAACACACCCCCTCAAGAGCTGCTCTGGAACCATCAGCATTGAAAGGGAATTCCACCCATTTTTAAAATTTCCCTTGGATATGAAATGCACTAGCGAAATGCAGACTCATTTGTTTACAGTGGTTATAATAGGAATTTATTTATTATCCTATAATATATAAACTTCCAGTGAACCTATATTATATATATATATATATATATATATATATATATATATATATATATATATATATATATATATATATATATAAAAGAATAGCTTTCTGTATAATATTTTCACTTATATTGCCCTCCATGTGCCTCACTACCTTCTCAAAACTATTGTAAAAGAACGTCTCAGGTATCAGGTAGCATATTTATAAGCATTTCATGTAATAACTTTCTGTGAGGGAGGTTTTAGAGGTGGACGTCTGGTTCCTATCAACACCACTGTGAACAGTTCTGACTCGGTAAGGTTCTCTGGAACTTCACACCAACCCACTCTGAATGACTTTACATCTGAACAATTAAATTACATAGAATTATTACAAAAAATGTAGGTTTCTAAGAAATGGCAATTTTGGTTCCAGTCATTTTTTGATAGGGTGCATCTATGACAACATCTTGTCAACTGTAATCATAATTAAATGTTAACAGAAAAACAACAGAAATAGTTACGTCAGCATATTTTGTCAGTCCACATCCACTGAAGCCTAACTGCATTTTCCAATTTCAATTGTGCAATATTTGCAATATTTATGGATGAATAAACAAAGTGGCAGTGCATAGTAGAATGACAGTAAAATGAAATATAATGTCCGCTTGGTGCTCAGTGAGCCGGTCCTGTCAGTAGCTCAGTTTACAATAATGTCCTGGTACATACATCACTAAAAAGTGTGTTTCCTGTGGAATCTAATCTACATAGAATATCCAAATAGGTCTTTTTCATTTGTACTAATGACAGTATTCACACATATGGTGCATGTTTTCTTGGATCTTGCTGGGTAATGCAGTTCTGAGGACCTTTCCTCAATCAAAATCAGTTCATTTAGTACCAAAAGCTTTTGTAATACCTGCAGCCACGGAAATTTGCATGGTTGTTTCCTAATCTGAAGGATATTACAAAAGGATTTCATAATATAATAATATCATAATATATTACTCATAGCTGGATTTATGCTGAATTATCTAATACAGAATGACCTGTTTTTTTTTTTATCATGTCAACCAAAGACGACTGTTTTTTTAAAAACACGTAAATCTATGCATATTTATGTATATTCAAGTAAATAACCTCATTTTGCAGATCTAAATGTATTTTTTTGCAAAACTTTCAATATAAACCATACGTGTAATAATACAACTGAGCGACCAGCAAAGATTCATTGTTATATCTAATTTTTTTTTTGTTTTCCTGTGGTGTCGCCTTAACGGACACCATGTGAAACCAGTCCCAGATCGGCTGAACATTTCTGTTCACTCTAAACCACCTTGACACTCTAGGATTTCAAGAAAATGTCAGTGTAATGGTGGCATTGTGCTTGAGGGTTAGAGGTTACTAGGTTTTCCACAGAGGAGAGCAAATAAAGATCAAGGTCCAGTTTTCCAAAAGTTATCTTGAAAACCTTCAACGTGGGCCCTCATGTGCTGAAAGAACAAACAAACCGCCCTTACAAAAACGCTGCCGCTGGAACTAGAGATATAGCAACAATGTGGTCTAAGTTACTGATGGAAAAGTTTGAGTAAGGCTGGCTTTAAACTTCCATGCAACTTTAGTTGCTTGAAACCTACAGGAAACTAAATTGCAATCATGCAACTCACTTGAAACTTGAAACCGCAACAGTTGCAAGCATCTCAACCTTGTGGAACAAGTGTCATGAAACAATTAAAACAGTGGTAACTTATTATTGATCATTTCAAACGATTAATTTATCCAGTCAAAGGACAAGAAAACTAAACAGAGGACGCCTTATTGGACGGCTGGTAGTTTTTGTTTTGTCTGTCTCCTGAGCCATAACCCAAACAAACTTTAGTGTCTTCAAACTAACGTTTCTGTAACCAGCTGGCTTAACTAGCCAGCTTACACTAAAAGCTGTTTAAATGGCTGTCCGAATTAGATTATTCATTTTCTCCCTGTAATTTTACACAGAGCTGAGGTGACTGATAAAAGTATTATAGAAGAGAAAACAGAGGTGCGGTTCTGGAAGAACTTGTTGTACTTCTAGGACAGGATGAACGAAACATCAAGTACAATGGTAATTGCTCTATAAACAATAATTTAAAAAGGCGTAACATGCATAGAACATATTTAAAAGGCAAATACTTATTAAGGTACTACAAATAGATAAAACACAGATGTATAAATATAGAGAAGAACAGCAGTGACAGCTAGAAAAATTAATATTCCAGTTGCACGGAAATAATGTTGCATACAACTAGTTGCCTGAAAGCATCACGAGGTAAGGCCAGCCTTAAGGTTTTCCGATTTTTTTTGGACTGGGGTGAGATTTGGACCGGGGTTACCTACAGCAGGGCCGTTATCAGTTCCATGAGAAAGGCCTTCAGGGTCAAAGGCACCAAAAATCTTCACCCAAACCTGCTTTTCCAGCAGTGAACTTGCACAGACTAAACTGTGGTGAGGTTACATGATTGTTCAAAGTGCAGAAATTGCATAGAAAAACAGGCTGCTTGTTCATCCGTCCTTGGAATTAATGCTGCAAGCTTGTGAGAGGCTGAAGGCCCTGAAATGGACAGTTGTTATGCAAGCTAACAGGTCCTTCTGAAATGTGAATGGCATTATGTATATGAAATTAGCATCTGATTTCAACTGAAATTGAATGGTTTTCATTTACATTATTATACATGGAAAGCAACCTGGTTTGCTCTAACATCTCTCTGGCTTAAGAACACCACACACAAGTCATTTTTTGGTTTTGTGTAGTCAGTTAAGCGAAATTCCACTTTTTCCAATTTTTTTATTTCTTCATAATTCAGTCATTGGTTTGGTGCGAAATGGTTCAGATGTCTTCACAGTGGTGGTGATAGGAACCCGGGGTCACCATGACTACAACACAGATATAGACATTTTATTAACTATCCAAAACCACCAGAGAACCTACACGTCTGAGTGTTTACGTGGAAATGTCACAAATAAAATAATGGTAAATCTAAAACAGCGAGTTTGAGAATTATTTTGTCTTAAAAGTCCTTGCATGTACCTCTCCACCATGAATGGATTTAGCTTTCAGAGGCATTAAGTGCTTCAGCCATCAGTTTGCAATCACCACTCTGAATGGCTTTGTTTACATCTTAATTGAATTATGCAGATATTTTGAAAAATTGCTGGAACTAAGTTCTGTGCTCAGTGTAGTTAGACTAGGACTTCAGAATTCAAATCCATTTCACATGACAGCATTC